TGTAATCATCCTATATGAAATGTTACGGTACTATGAAAAAAATCAATGATTTCAATCAGGTTGAGATTGAATTCCATAACTTTTAGGAATTCCTCAATAATGTTATGTTCTGATAAAGTCTGAACTTATCATGTCTGTTCATCGTTGGCTTAACTGATAACATGTTAGATGTTTGAAATTCTATATGTTGAAAATTGTGCGTACAGTTCTAACTACTTATAAATATAATAGTAGACTAATTCTTTCAAGAGAAGTTTTGACTGTCTATCATTTCAAAAGCATGTTTGTTTTATGAAATGACGAGCATATCCACAAAGCTGAAGGCTATATTTTTGGAATCCTAAAGCTGCCAACTACTCTAATTTATTGATAGCGAAATTCTCCTCAAAACTCACTATTTCGCACATTTCTTGTTAGTTAGGCTAGTAAAATTCATGCATCTAACTCGTTGGATCAAAGAAATGTCACCTCCAATTATAATAACAACAATTCGAAAAGAGAGTTTAACTATTTGAGTAGGCATGTGGGTCCATAATCCTCCTATTGGCTGGGTTTCAATAAAACACTATCAGATTTTTCACCTATTCACTTAGGAAGGATGATTCAAAATTCAGTTGAAATATTCGTCCACAGTTATAAGTAAAATACTGTATTCACCGCGTCGTCAAGTGAATACACAAAACAGTCTTACTCAGTGCTTTACAAATAAAAAACGGGCACGTTATTATACCCTTCCATTAAATCTAAGTTCTATAATTTTCCTAAACTGCGGAAACAATGAAGTTAAATGAAGGCTTTAGTGTTTTTTCCATTAACGGCCAAGCACATCAGCTGTGTGCCTGGATCAGTTAAGTTCAAAGAGCCAAACTCCAGCTAGATGCTCGGAAGATGTGACAATCCACTGAATTAAATCCTTAGTTTTCAGTATACACATCTTGAAGCGAAGCTTCATTACAGTTTTATTTGGTACTTTCGATCCTATGGCGATACAAATGGTAATAAACACAAATGGCAATCAGAAAGGCAATCATCAATTTATAAAGCTAAATACGGATGATATGATGAGAGGTCAAGACCTCAATTTTAAAACTAATAGCTGTACATCGCTCAGAAATTTTTCTCAGAAGATTTTGAATTTTCACAGATTCTGAGTTAGCAGTAAATGACTTGTTTGCCTCGCCTTATGTCTGGAATCAACAATCCTAACCGTGTTGCTTCTCCTGATCGGAAAAAGGACAGGAGAAATCTGGTAAAAAAACTTAATATCCATCCTTACTGAATAACTAAAATGGTCATGTCTCACAGCCACAAATTAAGACATGGTAACTTAATGGCCTTTTGATAACTGTCTGAAAATAATGTCGCCTACAACGATAAAGAACGTCGGAACTCGTCAAATTAGCCTTTTTCATCGGTACTTAGATTTTGTCGGTAACCAGCCCAAAAAGCCTCATGCAAATTCTCAATCAGAGTTGCAAATACCCATTTTCAGACTACTCACCGATGAAATAATGCAAGCCGTTGTGAAATAGAGAAAATTTGTGACGACATCAATATTGCTGTTTTTAAAACTGGCTCATCAAAAATAAATTTTTAGTGTTATTTTAGTTTTAATAATGAATAACTATTTTTAAGCACAAATGCTCAAGCTAAAATCCGATAAGTGAGGTCATTTTAAATATTATTCATTTTCCTGGAAATAATAAAAAGGGGTTGCATAGGGAGGTAAAATTACCCAATGAATCAAGCACAGTGTCAAACAGAAATGCAGAATGAAATGAGACTTAATTTACAAATCATCCGGGACCCTGTCTTTTACAACTTATAAACACTCCATTCGCTGTAGGGTGGCAGATTCAAATCTACGGTAAACTACATTTAACCTAGCTTTGGTGCCTCTCTAGACTTATCTACAAGGCCTGTCCCCAAATTTGCATGGATTTATATTTCATAGGAAATCGAAACCCATGCATGGGCTACACTGCGCTGTGTCGCATAAATTTAACCTCGTTATCATCAATAATCTGAAATATGAAACTTTCGAAATCAGCTTTTAGTTTGGAACTTAAACTGTAACTTGCAAACGCTCTCTGTCTCATTCTTAAAAGTAACTTTTTAACAACTAACTGGAATGTCATATTATGTAGTAACTTCCCAATAATTGTGGCTGACGACTGAGTATTACGCTTCCCAAGAATAACAAGTAGGGGGCTGTTCGACCAGATGTGAGACGGATGAACGGTTGGTCTGTTTTATTGACTGGTTCTAAAACCGAACCTTAAAACTCTGTCATAAATGAATGATTTCTCTACAAAATTATCACAGGATTTCAGGAGGAAATATATTTCCCATCAAAATATCTACTGCAAAAATTAATGAAACCTTACTGATCTCAATAAAAAACCAAATTCAAATATGTTAACAAGTCAGGTGGGATACTAATTCTAAAATCCCTACAAGTTTTCGAATAAACACTACTAGTTATCACTTAATTTATGTCATCACATGAGTTTAAGTGAGTCATCTGCACCCATCCGAGTGTTACCTAAAATCACCTTATTAGACTGAATTTGAAAAATGTCTACTTTTAGAACGACAAAAATTTAATTATTATAAACTGAACTTGGTGAGTAAAACTTTCGGTTATCTGTGCAACTTACGGAAGGCAGAAGTTACGTGCGGAGCTCTAAAACTTTAACCACTTATCCATTTGAGGTGTTAGGGGAATAATTAAATTGTCTCGTGATGTGAAAAGTGAAACATGAAGTGTAATCCCACTCGTCAAGCAATGATCTGAAACAGAGAGCAAAGCGCACGTTAGCAGTGTGATCACACAAGTGTTGCGTGCTAGTAAGAACGAGGACTCAAGGTCAAGTATTATATTTACAACCAATCGCAATACAATTAGATAAGAGGGAAGGGCACTCCTATTGGTCATCCGTTGCCTCGTCTTGGGTAACCAATCCCTGCATACTTCGCAGCCAACCTGAAAGTAGACAAGCATGGTTTGAACATTAGAAAACCGCCAAACTTACCATGCCTTACACTACCCCCTCTCCCATAGGAGCACTGTCCGCAGTGCTAGGTGACTGTTCCTGCGGGACTTGTCTGCTCTAAGGCCTGTTGTCGAAAAGGTTTTAGTCTATTGAAGTGTGTGACTAGACTATGAGAGGAATTCGGTTCCTGAATCCTACAGGTGCAGTCACTTAGTACCTCTACTACAGTGAATGGTCCTTCCCAGCGTTTATGGAATTTAAGAGCTTTCCCTTTAGGTGGTGCCTCCTTAAGTAGCATCACCTTGTCTCCTGGCTCGACTGGTGATCCATGTGCTTTCCTATCATAGTATTCTTTCTGGTACCTCTGGTTTGTTTGGAGTATATCCCTAGTCATCTGATGTACCTTGTTCAGGTTTCGTCGAAGTCTGATTACGTGTTCGGATGCAATCAGTGTATCCTCTCCTAGTGTGTTTGAAGTCAGATCGATTGGCAACCGGAGTTCTCTTCCAGTGACCATATAATGAGGCGTTTGACGCGTAGCTTTGTGAATGCTTGCTCTGTATGCCATTAAGCACTGTGAGAGTGATCGGTCCCATTCCCTGGGGTTGTTTTGATCTACAAATGCCTGCAAGAGGGCTTTAAGTGTCCGATTGGTGCGTTCAACCAAGCCATTTCCCTGTGGGTGGTACGCGGTAGTGCGTGTCTTCCGGATACCCATTATACGACAGAGTTCGCTGACAACGATACTTTCAAAGTTGGATCCTCGATCTGAATGCAGTTGAAGTGGTGCCCCCCAACGGCTGACCCAGTGGTCAAAAATTGACTCTGCGATGGTTACAGCATCAATCTGTGGGATCGCAATAGCCTCGCACCATTTGGTAAAATGGTCTACCATGACTAAAATATAGTTATTATTTCTGGAAGTTACTGGGAGAGGTCCAACCAAGTCTATTTGTACTAAGTCATTCGGATGGCCAGTTATAATGGGTTCTAAGGGTGCCTTATTATATTTGTGCGGAGCCTTAATAGTTTGGCATACCTCGCAGGAGTCACAGAAATCTATGATGTCTTTCCTCTGGTGAGGCCACCAATAACGTCTTTTAGCCGCTTCAATCATTTTCCCTGAGCCCGCGTGGCCTAACTGCTGGTGTAATGACAATAGTACTGTGGGTAGTGCCGACTGTGGAGCCACAACGCGACGAGTATAAGTGGGTCCATGTTGGTAGTAGAGGATGTCATCGACAATTTTCAGATTATCCCACAGAGACCATAAACACCGGGTTTCCCATCCAAGCTTACTTATTTCCTGGGTTGTCGGTCGTTCGCCTCCATTTCGAACACGTTCGTAAATCAAGGCCAGTTCAGGGTCTGAAGACTGAAGTTCAGGCCAACTATATGAAGTATGAGCCTCTAGTTGGAGCAGCGAAACTTGTGCTTCGGTGCATGATGGGCAGTCACCGTGATACCTAAGAGGTTTTCCGCACAAGCAGCAAAAATTTCCATGATTCTTACCCGGTCTATGCATGCATTCGAAGTCATACTCTTGTAGGTGTTCTTGCCATCTGGCAATCTGACCCTCAGCTTCTTTGAAGTTATGTAGCCAGCTAAGGGCTTTGTGATCAGTGCGTACAATGAAATGTCTACCGAGGAGATATGCCCTAAAGTGTTTAACAAAATTGACCAGTGCCAGCATTTCTTTCCGCGTGGTGCAGTAATTCTTCTCACTCTTGTTGAGTGCTCGACTTGCATAGGCTATCACCTTTTCTACTCCATCTGCGTCTTTTTGAGACAAAACTGCCCCGATACCAGAGTCGCTAGCATCTGTATCTAGGATGAATGGACCTGCCTGGTCAGAAACATTGGGATACGCTAGGATAGGGGGGCTACATAAACAGTTTTTTAGTCTTTCGAAGGCTTCCGTAGCTGATGCTGTCCAATTGTAGTCTTTCTTCTTAAGAATGTCGAATAGAGGAGCTGCAAGGAAAGAGAAGTTAAGTACAAAACGTCGATAATACGAGGCTAACCCTAAAAAACTATGTAACTCGGGGGCTGAGTTTGGGAGCGGCCAGTCTTTAACTTCCTGAACTTTTGCTGGATCACATTTAATGCCTTCGGCTGAAACAATGTGACCTAAGAAACACACTTCTTTCCTGAAGAATTGACATTTCGATGGGTTCAGTTTTAACCCAACGGTCTGCATCCGTTCTAATACTTCGGAAATATCACTTAAATGTTCGGTCAACGTCTTACTATGTATGATAACATCATCTAAATATACCAAACACTTACCTGGTATGCAATCACTCAAGACCGTTTGCATGAGGCGTTGGAATGTTGCTGGGGCATTGACTAACCCAAACGGCATTGTTTCAAACTCATACAGGCCTGCTTGTACAATGAATGCTGTCTTTTGCCTGTCATCTGGGTGTACTTCAACCTGCCAATATCCCGATGCCAGATCTAGAGTGGTAAACCAATTCGACCCCTCTAAGGCATCAAAAGTGTCGTCTATGCGTGGAAGGGGAAAGCAGTCTCGTCTAGTTAACAGGTTTAACTTACGATAATCTACACACAACCGGAGTGTCCCATTCGATTTCTTAACTAAAACTACCGGTGAAGCCCATGGAGATACGGATGGTTTGATGACATTTTTCTCTAACAGTTCATCAACTAACCTGTTAAGCTCCTTCTGGTAATGTGCAGGTACTCGCCGTGCAGGTTGTCTACAAGGTGGGGCGTTACCCGTTTCTATGTGATGTTGGACCAGTTTTGTTCTTCCCGGGCTTTTTCCATCCCAGTCAAAACAGTCCTCATATTTGTCTAACATTTTATTAAAGTTGGCAGCCGTTTCCGATGGTAGGGGTTCTATAGTCGTCAGCATTCGCTGTTTCTCATTCTTAGCATCTCCCTGCACGCCAAAAGTGCCGTGCTCTTTGTCGTTCCCTACAATAAATGGGATGGAACAGTCCTTCAGTATAAGAGTCCTATGACTACAATCTATTATTCCCGACAGCTTTTCCAGGAGGTCGACTCCCAAGATTACCTGCCACGGCACCCGGGTAGAAATGATGAAATTGTGTTGAAGTGACAGTGTTCCCAATTTAAGTGGCAGCAGGACCAGTCCCTGGGATTGCATGCAATCTCCATTGGCTGTCGTAAGCCGCAAATTGTGAGTCCCTATTGTTGGCCTAAACGTCTCTGGAACACATGAGGAATGTACGACAGAACAAGTTGCTCCTGAGTCAACTAACATAACACACTTTTTCCCACCTATATAACCTACAACTTTCGGGGAGGAGGTGACACCGATTAGGTTTACAGTAGGCACACAATTCATATCGACATGTGACTCACCTGCATTGTGACCACAACTCCTAGCAAGCTTACCAAACCGCCTGCAGTAGTAGCAATCGTTTCTTGAAGTGGATTGCGACTGTGGGCGTCCTTTCCACGGTGGTGTAGGATTCTGTGCATGCTTTGTTGTTGTGTGCTGATATCCCATTGCGTTTACTTGTGGGCATGTGGTTCCTGGCTCTTCCAGGCTTTCCACTAGGCGTGCCCTAGCTTCCGCTTCTGTCATGGATGCTGGAGTGTGCAAGTTGAAGTCCTTCCTGTAACGGACGTCGACGCCCTGCAAGAACTTGGAATATATAGCGCTTTCAACCTCTGAATGTGTCTTGTCCTGCATAGCTTGACGCGCAAGCTTGCGGAGACGTAAGGTGAACTGGTTGATAGATTCACCTTGTCTCTGGTTGCACTCGCTGAATCTTTTCAGCGCTTCAATGGGAGGTATTGGTGGCACTATACGTGCTCTTAGAGTACTCAACAGGGTGGTCAAGGGCATATGCACGTAATCCAAACCAATTGTGTACATTTCCAAGGACCGTCCAACAGAATCGATGACGAATGCGTTCGGGTGAGGCACGTTCATCAGATCAATGTATCGGCACACCTTGTCCGACCACAGCTCGAAATCATCACCCACCTCCAGTGTATGCGGCAAGGGATGGACATATCGCGAAGCAGGCTGATTTGACTGAAAAGCTGGAGCCCTCACTTCAGCCAATTGATCCACCTCGTGAGATGCTGTCTGTTTGACAGGAGAAGTGTTCTTGGAAGCCTCATTGGGTCGAGACTTAGAAGAAGAAAGTTTTTTCGTTGGCAGGCTCGCCATTTATGTAATCCCACTCGTCAAGCAATGATCTGAAACAGAGAGCAAAGCGCACGTTAGCAGTGTGATCACACAAGTGTTGCGTGCTAGTAAGAACGAGGACTCAAGGTCAAGTATTATATTTACAACCAATCGCAATACAAGTAGATAAGAGGGAAGGGCACTCCTATTGGTCATCCGTTGCCTCGTCTTGGGTAACCAATCCCTGCATACTTCGCAGCCAACCTGAAAGTAGACAAGCATGGTTTGAACATTAGAAAACCGCCAAACTTACCATGCCTTACAGAAGCGACTTTTAAATTCGTGCGCTTTCTTATTTACCTGTACACAACCAGTAGTATAACTAAACAACACAACGGATGATGTGCGCATCTGGTCTTACTGGCCATATTTGCCTGATAATCCATGGATAATTAATTTGTAGTAGCTATTATCGAGACATTTTGAAGGTGTTGCTGGTTTATTGATGTAAAACCAAGTACAATTAAAAGGGAAATTGAACTTCAATAAGTGGAGCTGCAAGAGTTAGTAGGGAACTTGTGGAGTGGAATTCTTAAGGCTAAGTAAGCACTGAAGGCAAAAAAGGACTCAAAACTATAACAATGATTACAATAGACAATATGCAACGCAAACATTTTCCACCCATATAAGTATATGCTGGGTCAGTATGCAGTAAAATATTCTGCAAAGTAAGAAGTTGTTCACTAGTTTGTCTGGTATTCAGATTCACTTTTTTTGGTTGAGCATCGAAGGCTTGGAGCCTTTATTAATCCTTTTCTAGTAAATTTCTGTGGTTGTCAAAAACCTTCTGGGAGTCGGTTCCACTTTATGACTCTGTACGAGAACCAATACTCTACAGCTTTATGGTTTCTCCTTGTCTTTTGAACTGTTATGCTATATCCTCTAAGGTGTTCTTACCTGGTGGGAAGGAAAAGAAACGGTACGTCAGGTCCGTAGTCATTATTTAAAATTTTAAAGACTGTAATTAGATCTTGTTTTTGCCTTTGGTATGATATGGAGAAGAAATTTAAACTGTCTAGTCTTTCCCCGTATAATAAATTGCTCATGCCGAGAACCATACGTGTTGCCCTTTCTAGAATGTGTGGGCCCCCTTTAAGACAAGGACTGGCTGCCTGGATACATTTTTCTAGCCTTGACCTGGCCAGAGATGTATATAAAGAGGAGAGCATATCTCTGGTGGTCCTAGTTAAGGGTATCTGTGAGCTGCGCATAAGCATCTGAAGCTACCTGCAGCCACCACACGACGGCGTGATGTAGTTTTTAAATCGTGACTATGACACCTAAATCCAAATGAGTCTGGACTGATGGAAGTGTTATTCTCCCTAGTTCGTAGGAGTTGGTGCTTGCTTGTCCGATGCGCATTGTTGCACATTTTGCCACATTGATAGGGAGCATCCATTCAAAGGACCACTCTGACAATTTGTTGAGGTCTTCTTGCAACGTGGACGTATCACTGTTGCTCTCTCTCTCCAAATTTTCAAGTCATTGCGCATAGGACCATAGCGGGGGTCGGTGAGCGGAGGTAACTCACTGATGTACAGAACAAATAGGAGGGGTCCGAGTACAGTGCCTTGTGGCACTCCGCTACGTTCTGCTATCCAAGAGGAGAGTTTCGAGTTGATCCTAACCCTCTGCCTCCTATCTATGAGGAATTTCCTGAGCCAGTTTAGTGATCTGCCTTTGATACCAAGACTTTCCAACTTCATGATTAGTCTTTCGTTAGGCACCTTATCAAAGTCTTTGTGAAGCCTATGAAGACGACGTCAACGGGTCTTCTGTTGTACCTTGATTTGACCTACCTTTCTCTTTCAGTGAGGAGATTCGACATGCATGAGAGGTTTCTTTGCAAGCCACGCTGTGCTCTGGATAACATTTTGTTGTTTTTCAGGTATGCCATTATGCCTTTCTTGATGATTATTTTCAGTGTCTTGATTAATGTGCTGGTGAGACCAATGGGCCTATAATTTGAAGGGCTTTGTCTTGATCCTCCTTTATGGATGGGGGTTACTATGGCGTCTTTCAAGTCACGCGGTAACACTCTATTTAGGAGAGAGAGCTTGAAGCTCATGGTCAAAGGGCCGGCTGTGTCATCTGATAGCGCCTTGAGAAGCCTTGGGTATATATTATCAGGACCCACTGATTTTCCCGCATCTAGTTACATTAGGCAGTTAAGCGCGATACCTAGGTCGATGTCAGCGGAATCTATCCCGTATTTCTCTGATGCAGCCAGAGCTGATCATATAGGCACTGATGACTCCTGTGTAAAGACTTGACAGAAGTAGTCTGCCATTGCTTATGCTTTTTCTTGATCTTTTTTATTGTATCATCGTCAATAGTCAGGTTTGGGACATCATTCGATGTTTTGTTCCTGAAGTTTATGTACAAGAAAATCTGCTTAGATTGTGCCTTTGCATTTGAGCCAAACGTGCTTCGAACTTCATCCTTGATTGGCGAATTTATACAATGGCTATTTTCCTCGCGACGTTGTATAACTTTATGGTCTCAGAAGTTTAAAATGTAATAAATGAGTTCCAGTACTTATGTTTGCGCCCGAGTAATTTACGAATCTCTTCGTTTATCCATTATTCGAAACGTTCCTGAACATTTGGGACAGATTAAAGTATGGAAGGTTCACTTATTTGAGTGTAAAGTTGCACAGAGCGGTTCCGCAAGCCTCTTATTTGGGACTCTGGGTTCATCTACCGGTACAGCGAATTGGCTGCTGAGACGGTTGCATTTATATCAGCTTTCCACGCGTTTGGTCCAGCTTGGGTTATGGCCCATGATGCTGGTGCTGTGAACTTGAAAGTGAGCACAGCATGATCACTTATTCCTAAAGGAGGAATACGTTATGTGAGATCCACTTCTTCACCATGGGAGAACACTAGGTTCAGGGTTGAAGAGGAGTGTTGTGAATTATTGCGCATGGGCTTCATGATATGTTAGGCTGGAGCAATGCTAGACACCAGCAGTTCATTGTCAATGGGGTTGTCTGAAGATGGCGTTCGAAGTCTTGTCCAGTGAACTGTTGAGATGTTGAAGTCGCCGACTACGAGACCTCGACGTTTCGATGTACAGAAGCCTAGCTTCTCTATTAAGAAGTCTTCTGCATTGCAGTCAGGACTGCGATATGTAGCAATGAGGTCAGTGCCTTGGCCTATGCATTTAAGTCTGCAGAGTAGAAGTTCGAACGATTCACTTTCCTGAGCGAGTGCTTCGATGCTACACGCAATTAAGCATTTCTTGAGGTAGACGACTAATAATAATAATGTATATTTTCATATAAACATAAATTTACATGAAAATGCATGCCATTTTTACAGGCACGATCAATTATGATATAATCCCGAATCGTAGATTGTCTACAAGTTAATTATGTTTCGATAGTTAAATATTTGATATGTACATAAATACACTGATTGTCTGAATCAGGCTGTATAGTTATTAAATTGTAGAGTTGTCCTCTAGGTTGCAAGGGATTAAAAGTTGTTTTAGAAAAGTAAAAGTGCTAAGATGAATAATCAAAGTGTAATGAAATAAGTAAGTGCAATGTATCATTAATAAGTGCATTCATAGAAGAAATACTATGGGAAACTAA